AAAGACATATTGCATTATGCATAAGATCTCTTTAGAGGGTTCAAGTACAAAGATGTCTACAGTGTTCAACAGCAAAGGACTAAGGTGCACCTGACTCAAGCCATGGTATTTTCAATAGACTCATACACATGTGAAAGTTGGACAATGAATAAGGAAGACTGCAAAAGAATTGATACATTTGAGTTATGCTGTTGGAGAATCATATTAAAAGTACCATGTACTTCCAGAAGATCAAACAAATCTGGGTTGGAAGAAGTACAACCAGAATGCTCCTTTGAAGACAGGATCAGGAGACTTCCTCTCTCATACTTCAGACCTGTTATCAGGAGAGAGTAGTCCCTGGAGAAGGACATCATATTTGGTAGAGTGGAGAGTTAGAGAAAAAGATGAAGACACCCAAAAGATAAACTGGCACAATGGCAGGAGCAATGGACTCAAGCATAACAATTGTGAGGATGGCACAGGACTGGCAGTGTTTTGTTTTGTTGTGCATAGAGTTGCTGTAAGTTAGAGTCGACTTGATGGCACCTAATAACATTTCAAGCTAAACATTTCAGGCTGAATGAGATTTGTTAAGCATAATTCTTTTACATAGATTAAATAAATATGAAAGAAATTATTGATTTGCTTCCTCCTATTACACAGAAGAATTAAGATCATCTTAAACTAGAGATATCAGAGAATAAGGAATAGGGAAAAGTAGAGATCTTTTCACAAGTAATGAACCTCATCATGCTTTCTGCCTTATAGAGTTATTCCAGAAAAGTTCCAGCAAACTGACTGCACAGACATGTGGAAACTGGCTCTGGCAGGCAAGGAGATAGGATTTAGATACAAAGCTACAAATAAAAGACACACACGAGAGTACTTCACAGGTCTTGGAAACCCCCTGGTCCCTCACCCCGAACACTAAGTGATATGTTAGGACAGGTGCAGTTCTTCTCCAGCATGAGCTCTGAGAGTGCAGCTTTTCCAATTAATTTTTTTCTTTACAACATTGATCAACTAGCTTTCTAATTTTTCCAGTGAAGTAAAAGATTTAGATTAAACTGAATGAATCAATTCAATGTTTCTTTTAGCTTTTGTACTTACTGTATTTAAAGATACCTCACGATGGAGGCAGAGATGGAGACATGGAGAGAGGGAGCAGCTGAGGACTCTTAATTCATGGGAAGAGAGGGACTGAGAGCCGGCGGCCAGGAGACAGACTTGAAGAATGTGCCCTTTGGTGGTGTAAATTATTATATATGCCTGATTGTTAAAAATAAAAAAAATAATAAAAAGAGCTAAAATGAATAGAGAGAAATACTGTTAACTGATGGGGATTATAATCATTGTAATGAAACAAGGTGTATGATTTGTTCAATGTAAAACTGAAGATCTGTCCTGTAAACTTTCACACAACTCACAATAAACACGTTACCTCACACAGTAAGTAGACTAAGTGCCCTAATTTATCAAATACAAAGTTAAACGAAAAAAGAAAATTTTACACACATTAGGGGAAGCATCTAGTAGAAGTCCACGGAAAAAGCAGCAATGTCTCACTGTTTCTGTTGCTAGATTCTTTAAGAGTTTTTGTATAACTGACATTAAAGATTGTGCTTTGTGGTTCTGTGAGCTTTCCTAGCCCACCCATCTACATCCGATAAACCACTAGATCAGACCATGCCATTTTCTTATCTAGCACTTTCTCAACTAAAGAAGAGGCAGGATGAAGAAATATCAAACACAGGACAAGACAGAAATGGAGATCAGGAAGTTCTGTGGAAATTTCATAGAAAACTGAAATTCCCTTAGGGAAAAGTCAAATGCTACTTTTCTTTTTTCATTTCCAACTGTATCAAATATGCGGTATCCACAGATTTAGTAAACAAAAGAGCAGCAGTTCGAAGGCAGGAAAAGTTTAACACATTAGACATAGAAATGGGTCAAGAGACTCTGCCAAACCCATCCCAGTGAATCCGATTCCTTTTCCAGCCTCCTTCCCCATCAGCCTTCCCACATCCAGTGACAGTGGACAGTCAGCACCATGGCAGACAGGGCCTGACCGCAGCCCACAGGAGTTCCGCCTGCATTCTGTGTACCCAGAGCCCACTCTTGAGGCTCAGCCCAGGAGACCACAGCACACTGTACTGACATGGGTGTCCCTGGTGAAATCATGGCAAATCTTCTCACTTAACACTCCCAATTGCAATTTAAAATCGTGGAGACATCGCATTTCAACTTAATGACTTTAATAGCATTTGCCACAAAAACCACAGCTGAATGGGGTAGGATTTTCTTGCATTTTTGTTTCCCTAGAAATTTAACTCATTCCTATCTATTCTTGAGCTTCACTGTCCACTAAAATTTCTACCCTAACTATGAAATGTGTGCTTTTACCTCTTGTGAGCTAGATTCTTCCTTGGAGGAAGAAGGAGGAAATAAATAGCTGACAAACAATGCCTGCCCCTTCCCGCTCCCCCCTACCCCCCACCCCCATACCTATTCATCACCCGTTTCCTAAGAGCTCTTCCCAGATCCATTATTCAGGATCAACACTTCCACCCAGGGCACACATCCTTATTATTTCCTAGGGAGGACAAGGTTCCATTCTCACTATTGAGGTGTTGTTATGCCCAGCACTGAACAAGATGTTTCACAGCATACTTGCCAATGACAACAGTCATTATGCTCTCACAGGGAAGATGGTGACTGACATGGCCATTGAGGAGTCTGAATTTATTAACAGTTATTTGTGCAGTCATCCTAACATCTCGCCATCCTATCACTAGCTCTTGGAAGAAGGAAGGGCATGTTGTATATGGTAGTCAACATTGGATGTTTGGTTACTGAAAGGCTCAAACTATATGGTGGTGATCAGAATTAACAGTTAAGCCAAATGAGTCAACATTTACCCAAAAGCAAAGATGAAAACACAAGGTGGTGCAGGGAAGCTAGATCAATGGAAAGAGAGCAACCAGAACAGAAATAATGAGAATGCTGATACATTGTAGAAAATGCAACCAATGCCATGGAATAATTTGTATAAAAATGGTTGAATGGGAACCTAATTTGCTATGTAAACTTTCACCTAAAACACAGTAAAATTTATATTTTTTAAATGTGAGGAGTACTCAGCATGCAGATGCTGTCTTTAAAGATGGTGGGGACCACATGGAAGGCCCTGATAGCATCCTCCATGAGTTGACAGTGACTTTCCCCACCCACTCACCCTGTTCCAACTCCAGTAAGAAAGTCAGTCCTACACCCCAACAAAACTGACTCTGACAAACTCTGAATGAGTTTAGCAATGGATTATTCTTCAAATCCTTCAAATAAGGATAATCTTTGGTTGACATCTTGATTTCACTCTTAGAAGACTCCAAGCAAAGAACCCAGTTGAGCCCCCTCAACTTCTGACCTACAGAACTGTGAGATCATAAATGGGTGTTATTTTAAACCAACAACAACAAATCAAAAGGTAAAATACCTACCTTTTCTATCAAAAAAGCTTTGTTCATATCTCAACCTTAATATAACTATGGGGTAGAGAATTAAGACAAATATCTTTATGTGAGAATAGGAGTAAGAGGTGCTCAGATCCCATCAGGCTTTTAGAATCTCTCTCGAGAACTGTCTAGTGAAATCCTGAGTAAGTTTGCCTTTACAGTACTACGGGTTGCTGTCGAGTCAACTCTGACTCATGGAGACCCCATGTATATCAGAGAACAACTGTGCTCCACAAGGTTTTCAATAGTTGACTTTTCAGAACTAGATCACCAGGCCCTTATTCTGAGGCACCTCTGATGGCACCATTCTATTAACAGCCGAGTGCACCCAGGGGCTCCTTGAAAACCCCAAAGCCAACAACATGATCTGCACCAAGTGTTTTGGAGTCAATGGACCTATCAAAAGAAGTAATTAGTAGCCTCTTGCTAGTTGCAGCAACAAAACAGCATTATTTTGTGTGTTGCCATGACTAACTATGATTCAGAAAAAAAAGTGACAAATGATGCATGTTTAAAATATTTCACCACAATGACACTCCCTCAAACTCCCCCCCCCTCCCCAAAAGGCTTAAAGGAATTTTTGCCTATGTAGACACATATAAGAATCATTTTTTAAAAAGACAAGTTTAAAAGATACAGACTTTACATTCCTCCCAATGAAAGGTGTAATATTTTATGAAGCAGTCTGTCTAGAAATGGAGCTTGAGTCTCGCTGAGCCTCCGGATCCAAACCACTGAAAGGGGAATGGGGGCTCACAGAGTGAACCTCAATATAACACACAATTTCATTTTTTCCAACAAATTCATTTTCAGGGGCAGAAAGGGAGACAGAAGGAGGCTTGTAGATTAAAAGCCACTTCAACAATGCAGCAGCCCCTATTAGAACCTAGATTTGAATAAACCAACATTTAAAAACCAACAAGAGCAACGACTAGGGAAATCTGAGCACTAATTTGATACTTAATGATACCAAGGAATTGTTTTATAAGGTGAGAGCAGTATTGTGGGTTTTACGTCTTGTTTTTAACAATTTTTATCTTTCAAAGACATATACAGAAATATTGATGAATGAAATTATATGATACCTAGATTTTTGCTTCAAAAAATCCTTAAAAAGGAAAAAGACAAAGCCATTGGACTATACAACAGCAATAGAGGTTGGAAGGATTTATGAAAATATTGTTTAAATTTCCACTTTCTGCACAGAACATAGGTAAGCCTCCATGGGAACCCTGTCCTGGTCTTGCAATCCTATATGAAATGTGCACATGGATGTGTCATCCATCAGGAAGCTCACACATTCGGAATGTGGTATTGCCCTTTCTCTCCTTTCCCCAGCTACAAGGAGCACAGCACACCAAGCTGGCATTCCAGCAGTCCCCTTAAGGGAGAGTCAAGTCTAAATAAATGGAGGGCTTGTTTTCAAGCAGGAGAGAGAAAGGAGTTGTTGCAGGAGAGGCGAGAAAGCCACATCAGCACTGGCATAGCACTGTGAATGGATGTCACCTGTCTCAGCTCTTGGGTTTCTTCCTCAGAAATGAACGGCTGGCTCATCTGTAGCTGGGTCTGCCCTCCTTCATGGCTTCCTGAGGAGGACTCACTGCGCATCACTCGGTCCATCAGTCCAGATGCTGGAATGGAGAAGCAAACAGTCACACACTGACATCTTCTGGAGAATGCAAAGAGTGCACAGATACAAGAGCCTTCAAAGCTTCACAGGAATGACAGGTAACAGTCACAGCTCTCTTCTGCCTCACAAAGTATTTTTATGCTATTGGTCTGTAGCTGTACTAGCCTGCCTGGATGGAAGCTGAGGCTAGTTATTACTTCAGTTCAGTGAGAAGGGGAGCCTGCCTGCCTGCTTTCTCACGCCACAGACTGGCCCCAAGTCTCTCAGAGAGTGCAATATTGTCAACACTCAAGATCCAATTCTATAATCAGCTCTCAGAAGAAAGGCCCTTTTCCAAAGAGTGGTCAGTGTATTTTCTGAGACAAGATGGAAGAGTATTACATGAAAGCATCACTGAATCCTGATGAAATGTACATTAAATACATTACTAGGAAATTGCAGCAAAATCTGTGCTAGTCTACAGAACTCTCAGGTTCCAGAGGCCACAGGAAGTGGCCTCACTTGCTAGTGCCAAGTGAAGCCACATGGATGAGTAGTGGCACTGCCGTGGGAGGTGAGTCAGAATGCTGCACTGTAGTCAGGCCTCTGCTGGGGGGTGATGGTGAAGAGGAGAACAGGGTGTTCTAAGGACTTAACCTGCTGCTCATTAACCATGGGTCTCCCAGAACACCTGTGAGGTGGGTAATCTCTCAAAGAGCAGAAGGGCACCTGGCAATAAATAGTGCACACAACGCACATCATGTGTGACCCTGGCTGCCTCTTTCGGTGTGCCACCTGTCCTTTATTTAAAGAGCAATGCTGGGAACCTCCTGGCTCAGATAAGTGCATCAATTAAAGTCTACCATTTGCTTTGCTCCATAATACAGATCACTCCAGATATTCAACAGTAGTCATACTGATTTATTGGGATGCTGAGGGTCAACAGTGTGGGTGATAGCACCAGCTCCTCCAATCTGCCTCCTCTGATTGATTAGGATGGGGCAAGTGACCTCAAATATCCTTCCCAGGTTCCTTCAGGTCCTGAGTAACCCACTGCCAGTAAGTTGATTCTGACTATAGCGACCCTAGATAGGTTTTTCAACCTACATGTTTACGGGAACAGACAGCCTCATCTCACTTGGAGAGCAGCTGGTTTAAACTGCCTTGTGGTTAGCAATCCAGTGCTTATCCTACAACACCACCAGGGCTCCTTTAACCCCTGAGATCTAAATAAAAGGTCCAATTGCCAATGCCTTTCGTAATTTTATCATTGTTGTTGTTGTTAAGTGTCATCGACTTGGTTCCAACTCACAGTGACCCTGTATAAAGTTTCTGAGGAGTAACTGGTAGGTTTGAACTGCCACATTTACGGTTCAAACTGACCTTTCTGTGCATTCTTCTGCATCATCACACCAGGTCTCCTCATTTTATCATAGCTGGATAAAATTTAGCAACTTGGAAATAACTGTTGTACGTAAGATTTAAAAAAAGGAAATACATCTAAAGGTCAAAGTTGTTGCTGGGCCTAAAAGGCAGCAGCCAACGTGGTGAGCTGCCCAAGCACCTGACCACACAACCTTCCTTGGCTTCTTCTTAAGGGAAGAGACCAGCCACCTCCAAACACACACAGCATCAAGTTTCTTAAAGTAATTCTTAAACATTAAATGTTCTCAAATGCAGGCTAGGATAGGTTGAAGAAAGCAGGTTACCTGGGGATCCTGAAGCAGAAACAGATGGAGGTGAGATGGAGAGAGTTCTGAAGCCTGGATAAGTGGACCAAGAACTGGGTATAAGTGAGACCCCAGGGTTCCAGCATAGCTGATTGCCGGGAGGCTCTTATGCTGAGAGAGCAGTCGCCATAAACCCTGTGTCCCCCGGGAAGGGTGGGTCTGTACTGGAGCAGCCTTCACACCTTTAAACTATGACCCATTATATGTGAACCAGTATACCCTTGAACGCATCTCAAAGTGTTACATGGTTTTAAATGATCTAAAATTCCTAACTAAAATGTTAGATGATCAAATGCACTTTCCTAAAACTATCAACAATAGAACATTGTCAGAGGGCAAGTTGGAAGGCATCACAGCAAAACTAGAAGAAAATTATTAGCTGAAAGGATAGGCTGACTGTGGAGCAAGAAATAATTGTTCACATTAATTTGATAGTAAAATCTGCATTCATCTTCCTAGTTACTTGTAGTTCCTGTGCCTCCCTCACTTAGCCCTCATCCTCCTTTCTCCCTTTGCCCTGGTCCCATTAGAAACCCTGCTCTACCACTGGTCCTCTCCTCTGCTCTCTGCATCCCTCTCTCGGATGAGCTGACATTTGTGCAGGGTTTCCCTAGGTGCTATCTGGTTTGGAAATTAACTATGTACTGTCTTATGAAACCTCCTCTACCACTGTGCTGGCATTTCAGTTTTCACACTTTTGCATGTTAACTTGCTTGGAATGGTATTATTTATTTTTCAGCATCTTCTCAAGCTGGGATCTCCTCATCTAAAATACAAGTCTATTAAGAGCAAGCTCCACATCTGATTCACATTTGTGTCCAGTACTGTGCTTTCCTGTCATTTTTATTTCAACACCTAAAGAGAGAGGCATACTATTTTTGGATTTTTTAATAAATGGGACTTTACTTTAGTAACCCAAAAGTCAAAATAGAGAATTTTTTTGTTCCTGGATTTTCCTTTAAAAAAAACAAAACAAGCAACTATATTAAGTCAGGGTTTTGCTTTGTCTCTTTCAAAACAAGCACAGGTCAACTGGGATTCTATTTAAATTTACAATATTTCTTCCATTTCAGTACTCTATATTGATACTGAGCTGCTGACTCCGTTATCTGAATGTTTTAATATGCCTTCTGAAAAGAATAGTTTGGTTCAGTATAGGATGGGTTTTGTTTTGTTTTCCCCCAGTCTTGAATCATTAATAATCTCAGTTATACAAAATAAGCATAAGTTGTTCAAGCAGAGAGGGAACTTAGGATGATCTCATTTTCTGGGAATCTGGAGCAGGCAGAGAGGAGGGCCTGAGCAAGGGCACAGGCCGGGCAGAGGCAGCTGCCCTGCCCTGTGCTGGGTTGCAGAGCACTCCCAAGCTTAACCCTCAGAGACAAAGAGTGGTACCACTGCGTGACAGTCTACTGTAGGTGTAAAAGGTACCTCCCCACTTCATGGAAGCTGCAGAGAAAAGACTACCACCAGCTTGTCCTACAAGCAGAAGGTTTGGTCTTGGTTCGAGGCTTCTAACCTCATAACCACCAGCAAAATCTCTGTCCTTTGCCGTAGGCTTCAAATTCCTCACCTGTCAAACAGGGAAATACCTACTCTACCCAGAGGGAAACCCAGGTTTTTGAAGCCTAAAGTTCACACAATTGAGGATGTTGTTATCATTAAGTGCCACTGAGTCAGTTCCAACCCATAGCGACTCTGTATAGGGTTTCCAAGGAGCAGCAGGTGAGCTTGAACCACTGACCTTGCGATGCAAACCAACTCTGCAGTCCAGCGCATTAACCCACAGCACCACACCAGGACACACATATATATTCTCTCTCTCCCTCCCCTGTAGGATAAGCACTCAACCACAAGGTTGGTTTGAGCTATGAAGCTGGTGGTTCAAATTCACCGGTTGCTTCTCAGAAACCCTATACAGGGTCAGTATATATTAGAACTGACTCAACAGCACTTAACTATAACAATATATACATATGTGGACTTCTGGTGTGGCTCCGTAGGATCAGCACTGGACTGCAAACTACAAGGTCGGCAGTTCAAACCCACCAGCTGCTCCTAGGAAATACTACAAAGGGTTACTGTGAGTCAGAACCAACTGGATAACACTTAATAATCACAAAACAACTGTATATATATATATAGATAGCTAGATATAGATAGATATATATATATAGAGAGAGAGAGAGACTATACAAACATATATACAAAACTAAGAACACAAATATAAATACAAAATGCCTACTCTGCTCAACAAAAGGGAAGTGTGATAGAAACCAAAATGGCAGGAGGCAGTAGTCTCAGTCTGCCAGGACGGAGAACTGGGCCACCAGCCCCACATCTGCCAAAGCAGAAGCTGCTCGAACCTCACTCACAAGAGCCCTTCCAAGTCCTTCCACTCATTAGGACATCCAAGCTATGTGCCATATATTCTTGTAAATTTCCAAAGGTAACTGGTTTATTTCTAAAAGTGCATAAGTGCAGTCATTTTTCTCTGAGATGGTAACAGACAGCAAATAATGAAGATAAAAATCAATAAACAAAACCCTTGAAATATACTATTTGAGAAGGTATATCATCGTTTTGGTCTTCTCCCAAAATTCATAACTCTAGTCTAATTATGAAAAACATCCACAAATCCCAATGGAGAGAGAGCCAACAAAATATCCAACTAGTCCTCCCTAAAATTCTCAAGGTCATCAAAACCCAGGGAAGCCTGAGAATCCCAGGGAGACATGGCAACTAAGTGGAATGTGGGACAGAAAATGGACATCCTGTCAAAACCTAGAAAATCTGAATAAAAGTATGGCCTTAAGTTAATAATAACATATCAATCTAGACTCCTGAGTTGTAACAATGTACCTCACTGATGTGTGGTTTTAACAATGGGGAAGCTGTTCTGTCTTCAAAACTTTTTCTAATATCTGCAATATTCTAAAATAAAAAAAGTAATTTTGAAAGCCCTGGTAGCGTAGTGGGTTATGAGCTGGACTGCTAACCGCAATGTCAGTAGTTTGAATTTACCAGTTGCTTTAAGATGGTGGCACACAACCACCACTACCACACACAAAAAGAGCAATTTGTTACTGCCCTTCCCTGAGGCAGAACACCTTTCTTCCATCTCCCTCCTTGCACCTGAAGCTCATGGTCTTTTCCTACCAGTCAGTAGGTCAGCAAGGTCAAGGGGTGAGAGAAGTTGGGTAGAAAGGGTAGTAACTGGATTATTCTGGTGCCTGGAACATATTCAAACTCTTACTGATGAAGGCACTTATATTTTGAGATATCTATTTTT